CTAATTGTGTTACGACTGCTTTATACAACTATTGCGGCTTGTCACGGGGCTGCAAGACCCGACCTCGTCTTGTGAAACCCCTCCGAACTGGTCGACACCGTCGGCCAGACCGAGCTAACCTGCAGACTTTGAGCTGTCCTTGTACAGCTTCGTTTCTTTGTGTGTAGAACCACACGAGGAGTGTGAAAGGCACTTCGACATACATACACACACACCCGTAGGACACATAGAGGAAGGACGTATGCGAAGTGGGTTTCGGACCATCCAGAATGCAAGGGCGAGTGGTCGTTCCGTGCGACAGAACAGCTTCGACATTTGTTAGCTAACTGAGACAACTGTCATTTGGACTGCTCGAATTAGAAAGCTGGGTAGGTGGGCCGCAAGGAGAAAAGGAGACCAGCCAGCCAGTCATTCTCTTTAGATCGGCAGAAGCGGCGGTTTCGAAATAGCTCGAACGACAACCAGCTTTCTGCTAGCCATAGTAACTCCATTGGCCAGAATTTACTTGGAACCGTCTTCGAGTAGTAGTAGTAGTAGTGATAGTGGTAGCAGCCGTACCACACTCAAAAAGGCTCAATGCTAGCTGAGCGGTGAGCAACCAAAACTCAAAGGTTGCCGCTGCTGCATCGATGGCACTAGCGCTTGACTAAACCCTGGTGCGTACCACTAGGTGGGTTGCGGGTTTAAAATGTGCAAGGAATGCAAAGGGGTGCTGAGACGCTAGATGACATGGGGGGGGGGGGGGGTACCATGTTGTGATTGGCACCCTGAGGTAGAGAACCACCGCCGGGACTCGATCGGCTAGATGGTAACAGCGACGAGGGAGCGGACTCTATGACGAACGATAAGAACACTGTCTAACAGACCTGCCACAGAAAGAAGTAGAGTTCGGAAACAAGGCTCGGGGAGAAGGGGGCTATAAGCCAGTGTGGATACTTAACAATGAAGGGTTGCAAGATGTCCTGGAGATGATGGCTGGTAGCACTGCTACCACTGAACTGCAGTGTAGAGTCGTTTGAGTATATATTTATCTTACCTACCTCAGTTACTCACCTACTTGCTAACCATCCTGCTTGCCTATATAATCGCTAAGCTGATCAAAGTTTAAGAGGCGTGTGAACGATGATCAGTATTAGGACTAAAGTCTTCTCAATTTATCGAATTACTAAACGTTTCTACCGCCTGATCAACCTATAGGTTTTCTTTCTCTCTCACTACCTAGCCTTCTACTTTATTCTTACTTTTGACACACTCTTATCTTTTTTGACGATTTGATCTCAGCTTTAGCTAAATTGGTACCTTCATGTTCACTATCGGAGAGGCGAAAATACAAATTGTTCACGACCGTTGACAATCAGACATAAGTTTATTAGATCATTTGATTCTTCATTCTTAGAAAACACAATCAAATATAACAACTACCGGATGCGGCGGAGACTACATCACCTTCATCAATATCATCATCATCATCGTCGTCATTTCAGATGTCAGCAAAAAAAAACAAAATCCGAAAACATTGCTTTTTTCCCATTTTTCATTTTCATCTCCCTTCAAACATTCCACCACTCCATAACTAGGAAATGATTCCGAAAGTAACACCATCATCCGAGACACATCTCGATCACCGTTACTCTGAAGCCACTGATAGACAGACGGCTGGCATGTACATAAGTCCCCGGTCCACCTCTTGTGAGCATTGCTTTCTTCCAGTAAGTACAATTCTACATATATATATGTTTGCAACGACGACTGAAAATCCCTTGAGTTAGGGGTAGTTGTTTGAAGCAAAACGCGAGACAAACAGTTATGCTATCCTTATCTTTATTACGATTGGTATCGTTACAATAGTCACTACCCTGAAGGTGGAACGGGGACGTTCTTGAGGTGGCGAAAGGTGGCGTTCGAACACAAAAAACACACGACTTTTGTAGTTTCGCGAATTATGCAACAAATCAAATAATTGGCCAAATTATCAAGCGGTTCTAAGTTGTGAAGGAGATCAGCCGCCGAAGTGTTGCGCTCTACGCCACGCCCAAGATAAAATGAGTTGTCATGACTCAGCACAAAGTTTATATTATCTCTTATTCAATTACATCAATTATATCCATCGTCTTTCAATCTTTTCTGTTATTTCCTTCATTTTATAGCATTTACGTGATTGTGCGGCTTTCGGCGCCGCCGATATGCCTTGTGTGTTTCTACGTATCTACTTTTATATTTATATATATATTTATATTCATCATATATATAGACTTAATTTTTCTTTATATATATATATATATATATATATATATATATATATATATATATTCATTCTTTGAATAGGCTGTATTGTTCAGTGCCCCCCTACACCCGCCCTACCCAGAGAGCTTCCCATACCCCACAATATGATTTTTCGATTTGTCATTGTGGAGACCCGTCAATCCGGCCAATATTTGACTTTATTATCGTAATGTGTTTTATTAACAGAGATGTTTGTTGATGTCCGTTATTACTTTATTTATATAGCCTGCGCGTTGGTCTGATATTTTAGACTGTGTTAAATTAGAAGTTTACTTTGTTGAGTTCATCTAGAGTAATATATACGCAATGGAGTTTTTCTGCTTGATTTCAACATGCAGCCGATCCGTTGCTCTTATTCGGTCAATCGTGAAGTTTACTAACTTTGACAGTTCACTACGTATTTTTTCTTCGGCTAAGATATCCTCATATGTCCACGCGTACAGTCTTAAGTAAACATGAAACGACTCAATAACTTTTCAGGCAGGTTTGTTTTTTATGTCCATTTAACAGACAAGCGGTAGAACAGAAAAATCCTAAAAGGCCGGACATCCAAATGTCATATGATTATTCTCGTTCTATCTAACTTACTTCCTGTCACATGCACGCTGAATAAGATCTCACTTAAATTTCCTTTGTAAGTTTCTCGTCTAGGTTGAGAGAAGAATTTTCGTAAGACACATGCTGTCTTGTCTGTTTTGTTGACTGGCGAGACTCAAATTATCGGACGTCTATTTAATGGACGCAGATGGGAGTTATGCTTCTGCAGACGTTTCACAATTTTCGTGTCCAGGATTTAAATATCCATAAATATTATCATAAACAATATTGTGTCGTTATTTCTCTCTTTTATTTAATCATTTATTTTTTACCGTCCCATATAATAATAATTATCATCATTATTATTATTGTAAGTATTATAAGTCATCATATATAATAGTAGTACACATATATACACGAGCCGACGAGATAGGCGGCCCTGTTCGTGTCGTGAGAAACCATGACGGCGCGTGGTTCAGACGCGCGACCACCCCCGCGCCCCTCCGTCCCGTTCCCCCGCCTGATACCCACCAACCAAATATCATTAATAATATGACGCAGCTGTGCTAAGTATCCACCATACATACATATGTTCTCCTTTTTTTGCTATCACTAGCAACTTTAATTCTCCTCGACTGAACAGAACACGTCTGTCTCCGGGTGATCGCGCATTGGCCACGCTAAGCTCTCGCTGTTTTATCATTATGATCATCTTCATCGCCTTCCCCTAAAGGTCCATGTCTCTCGTTTTCGCGCGCAAGACATGATTTGTTTAGTTAACAGGTTGCTGCCGTCCTCATTAACTTTTCAGTTGCGGATTATGAATTTTGCTGAATACGTTTATTATCCTATTTTCTGCTTCTTAGCATCAGAATTTTTCAATTGAGACCACGAAAATTAGAAAGTTCGAATGGGTCATTTACACTCAAGCCGAAGTCATGTCTCTCGCGTGCATGGGTCCACCAGACATGGGCCACCATTATTTGGCACGTCGCTAGGCCAGATGGGGCTTCAAGCGCGACTGCAAACCTTTTGTCCCCGAGAAGTCTATCTCTGTTGCGGGAAAGCAGCATCGAAGAAGTTTGGTTTGGTGTCGGTATCTCGTACCCTTCTCTCGACCTCTCGTGCGTCTTCTGTTGGTGCCGCTTGAGGCCACTAGCGTCACTGGGGGACGACGCTCAACGTGGACTCTTTTTCAAGGGAGTCCCCGGGGCGGCCGTGTTGATTTTATTGCACTATACACAGTGATGCTTATGTTTCTTTTGCTTTTTGTTTTTGCCTTTGAAATGCGCTGTTTCTGCCTACCTTGGTTATTTCTATCCTGCTCCCGCATCATTCTCCTGGTTTGACCTCTTCATTCACTAAATGCTCATACTTTTTCGATCTTTAGATTTTTTCCTTACTTTTTGCGATACACCTATGCACATTTCATTACGGGACGTGTTCACTGACCGAACCACGACGTCCTGAACCACCATGACAATGTTACAAAAAACGGGTTGCAAATACTCGAGATATATCACGGCGCTTCCCTGTCACTTCGACTCACGGCCGGTAATAGCGGAAGTAGCAGCAGTAGATGATTTGCCCTAATAAAAGGAAGCTGCTCAAAAACACGCAGATTAAAACACACTCGACAATCTGTATAATGATCATCATCAAAATCATATTATATCTTGTTATTTTATTCGTTTTAATCAGTCTTCGCTCTCGCTTAACCTTTCGTTTGCTTTTCATCGTCGTAATAATATCCTCTCAGCAGTAATCTTCATCTTTGCTGTTCATGCCGAATGGCTCTGATTGAGCCACCAATTCATCAACGCTGTGGTCTTCGGCCGGGCTACAGTCAGCGTTCGGTGGCCTTCAATGGGGGCCGCGCGGGCACTGGCATATAATGTATTAGCGTCGGGGTGCTATTCGGAAGGGTTTTGCTGCTTAAACTTTCCTCTTCCCGGTACAACGGATAAGGAAGTTTCTTGTTTTTTTTTAATGAACCCCTCAACCGAGGAACATCTGGCTGGCTGAATATATATA